GTGTTACCTCATTCCATTGGATAATATAAAATACTGGAAAGTTTTGTTTGCAGGCTCTGAAAATTTGCCATTCCTAGTAAATCCTAGAATTCCACTTCTCCTTTTGAATGGAATATTCTTATTTGTTTTATTAAGCATCCTTCTCGATCCTCACTCCCAGTAATTTTTCTTCTTTGGATTTCTTCTAGTTCCTTCAACAATATCGCCATTATAAGTCCAATGTGGAAATATTCAAGCTTCAGCCAGCAAAGCCCAGTAAAGAACTGGGTGAATTGGTGATGTTTTTGGCCCAGGTAAAATTCATGGTGTGTGTGTGTGGGGGGGAGAGAGAGAGAGAGAGAATTTTGCTTGAATTAGTTTAAGCCTCCCTCACTGAAGGGAAAAAAAATCAAATTATTAAGGAAATAAAAATATTAAGGCTTCAGATAATTCTAATGGAAGGTTCTAAATGTAAGCGAGTGAGAATAATCACTTCTGACAATTCTAATGTATGGAGCTCAAATTCATTTAGTAGTTTCTTCTCTGCTTGAATCACCATTTTGAATGTGGCTTTAACAATATTTTCAAAGAAAATTATCACCATTCTTGAGTTGCAAGGATACTGTGGTGGAAAAAACACAGTGTATGGAATAGAAGTTATACAGCAAGGAGTCCAATGCTTTAGATTCAGTTCCAAAAAGTTGATTTGGAGCATAAACATATCACCCACTGTTAACTTTTTGAAGCAGCTGTATCTTTGCCAGATAATGTCACAGAAGATAGCTGCACAATCCTAGGAAACGACATGGGTGCTTTGAAGAGTAATCTTCAAAACTAGCATTCTGTCCTCTGAAATAGTTTATTCCAGAGTATTACTAAACCCTGTAAAACGTTTTGAAACATAGCAATGGAAATTGCTATGTAGAGAGAAAGTGTCCTCAGTTACTGGTACCCTATTGACAGCAAGCCTCGTTAGGGGAAAATATCCAGTTTGGTAGTGAAACCATGGTTGAACTGACATCCAATAATTTCCAGGGAATGCCAGATTAGGGAAAACTGCATTGTGGATTGAACGTTATCTGTGGGACATGGGAATGGGAGAATAAGGTATTAAGTGGCGTTTCTCTTTGGGACAGGGATTCGCAGTGTCCTCAGAAATGGGGTTGTCCCGGTTGCTAAGGTAGAAAGTTGTGCGACCCTCCAAACAGTCCAAGGTCCCAAAGCTGAGGTTTCATGTAAGAATGTCAAAATCTTACAAGGGTTCCAGATAGCTTGTTTACCGAGGAGATCACCTATTGCAGGGGTAGGCAACCTCGGCTCTTTTATGACTCGTGGACTTCAACTCCCAGAATTCCTGAGCCAGCATGGCTCAGCTTGGAAACTCTCCCTTTCCCCTCAGCGTGGCTGGCTCAGGAATTCTGGGAGTTGAAGTCCACGAGTCATAAAAGAGCCAAGGTTGCCTACCCCTGCACTAGACATATGTTTTTGGGGCAAAATTGAGGCTCATTATTGATTTAACCTTTATAGGATTCTGTAACAAGCTAGGCCACAGGGGTAGGCAACCTTGGCTCTTTTACGTGGACTTCAACTCCCAGAATTCCTGAGCCAGCATGGCTCAGCTTGGAAACCTCTCCCTTTCCCCTCAGCATGGCTGGCTCAGGAATTCTGGGAGTTGAAGTCCACGAGTCATAAAAGAGCCAAGGTTGCCTACCCCTGACCTATTGTAATGGAATGTGTGGATAACCTTGGGGGATGAAGGAAAAAGATGCTGCTTAGGGAATTATCAGACGAGAAGCAGGAGTTCCCAGTGGCTTAGCGGTCAGAGGAAGAAACTTAGGTAGGACCTGCCCTAATTGATCAAACAGTGGCAGCAGGAAGTTCGTACCTTCAGACTTGCAAGATGCTGTTAATGTAGCCTTACAGTAAAATAGATTTAGCTCATTTACCCGGTTTCCCTGAAATTAAGACCTAACTGGAAAATAAGCCCCGGCATGATTTTTCAGGATGCTTGTAATATAAACCCTACCCCCAAAATAAGCCCCAATTAAGATTGTCAGCCAGATGGACGCATTTAGTGCCGTATTTCCCCGAAAATAAGACCTAACCGGAAAATAAGTCCTAATGCCTCTTTTGGATTAAAAATAAATATAAGACCTGGTTTTATTTTGGGGAAAATATGGTAGTTTCCTTTCTGGTTTACCTGAGAGAGTTAACACCTGTGCTCTGGCAATTAGTGAGACTGAGATTGTCGTAAAGATTCATGAAGAAATCCATTTCAGCCACCAAACACGCCCCCTTAATGTTATTTGAGTACAACCAAACAAACTTTCCGATTGATGTGGAATTTTTTTTTACTCCGATTTCCTTTTCTTTTTTAAACAGGTTGCCCATTGCTACCCTGAATACCTAGAAGACTTTCCGCAACAGTTGAAGGAATTGTTGTCCTATAGTCATACAGTCTTGGATCCAGATCTTCGGATGGTGAGCATCTGCAATCCAGATGTTTGATTCCTGGAAGGAGAGGAGTCTCTGTGAGGGGACAATTTTGCTCAGTGTTGCTTTTGTTTCTTGTCTTAAGAGATTGGAGCTAATGTTCTGGAATAGCATAAGACTGGTACCTCATGCTGCCCTGCTGATAATTTATATAATATTTTTTTATTAAGGGAAGGTGAAAAAGCTGTGAAAAGCACGGTTTTTCACTGTTTCTCGGTTGCTGGTGTCAATGCTGCTAACATCGGATGTTCTTGCTTTGACAACATATGGAGATGCAGCTATTTTCCTTCTTATGTTTTATTCTTAGAGTTAGAATTAGATGATACTGGGGAGAGGAGGAGGAATGTGCATGGGAGTTAGGTAGACATAACAATATTGTAGCAGTGTGAGAATCAAGGTTTTTTGAAAAGAGATGATAAGAAATGGCAGGTTGGAGAACTAGAGGGAAAGCCTGCATTTCAAACTAATTGGAGAATGTGATTTATGACTGTTAATCAGAGGAGGGAATTGCGCTTGATACTATGTGTTCAGGGGGAGGGGAATTCAGATTTTGGCGTCGCCTATGTACATGCAGATGCTATGCTACTCGAATAAAGATTCTTTAAGGTAAACAATGCCTTGAAGTTCTTTGAAGAGTTTCATCTGTCGGAACCATGACAGTTGGAGTTTCTTACACATGCGGTGACCTTGGACAAAATATTCAGAAAAGGTTACAAAACTAAAAGAGAGGGAAGCATGCTTTGAGCCCAGGAAAAGGAGAAAGTATTAGGAAGAAATTCAGTTGGCTTTTCCTTGACCTTCCAGGACAATACAGATAGTCCTCAACTTAGGACAGTTACGGAGCTTGCCAATGATGATGGTATATCGTGACATAAAGCAGATCATCACGTGACTGATTTTATGATCTTTTAAAGTGAATTGCCATGATTATTAAGTGAATCTGTGGTCATTAAGTAAACATTGTTTGTTTGCTATGGGGCATTTCCCCCCAAAAAACTGGAAGTAAACACAAAAATGTCAAAAATCATGGTTATGTGACTGCGGGACACTACAATGGGACGCTCTAAATGGCCATAAGCGTGGAATGGCTACCAAGCACCTAAAATGTCACGTGACCACTGGGGGGGGCAGCTTCAGAACCAGATTGTTAGTACCTTTCTTGAGGGGGAGGCATTGCAACTTCGGTCACTAAGTGACTGTAAGTCAAGGACTACTTGTATGTCTGCAAATTTAAGATGCGCGAACTTCAACTCCCAGAATTCGCCAGCCAGCAGGAAGGCAGCGAAAAATACAATCAGGCTTGAAAGATTCTGTTACTAGAATCTCATTAAAATAGAGTTCTATTGGTCTACCTCGAATGGCTGTTATTTAGATACAATACAATACAATAACAGAGTTGGGAGAGACCCTGGAGGTCTTCTAGTCCAACCCCCTGCTAAGGCAGGAAACCCTATACCAGAGGTAGGCAACCTTGGCTCTTTTATGACTCGTGGACTTCAACTCCCAGAATTCCTGAGCCAGCCACGCTGAGGGGAAAGGGAGAGTTTCCAAGCTGAGCCATGCTGGCTCAGGAATTCTGGGAGTTGGAAGTCCACGAGTCATAAAAGAGCCAAGGTTGCCTACCCCTGCCCTATACCATTTGCCCATGCTTTGAATTTTCTGTCTACCAACATTAAAGAGCAGTGGTTTTCTGTTCTGTGAGCTGTGGTGGTGCATTGGTTAGAATGTGGTATGGCAGGCTGACTCTGCCCACTGCCACGAGTTCGATCCTGACCGGCTCAAGGTTGACTCATCCTTCCATCCTTCCAAAGTTGGTTAAATGAGGACCCAGATTGTTGGGGGCCATATGCTGAATCTGTAAATCACTTATGGTTTAAAGCACTATGAAGCGGTGTATAACGCTAAGTGCTGTTGGTAAGCGCTATTTAAAAAAACAGCAAGCTGGAAAAAAATGAGAGGAAAGAATAGGATACCTTGGTTATTTTAGTATTAGTGTTGCAGTCTGGCTGATTCACATGTTATTATTGCCATTTGTAGTAATCCCTTCCTCTTTTTTGCAGACGTTTTGCAGAGCGCTGATCTTGCTACGCAACAAGAACCTGATCAATCCCACAAGCTTGTTGGAACTGTTCTTCGAGCTCCTCCGTTGCCATGATAAATTTTTACGAAAAGTGAGTAGCTTTTCATAATGAGCCATGAGTGTTTAGAGAGCCAATCAGGTGTCCTCTTGTTTTGGCCATGAGCCAATCAGATCACAGCAGGATTCAGTTATTGACCCCTAACTTGTGGGGTGCCTCAGGGGTCGGTCCTCTCTCCCCTTTTGTTCAATATTTATGTAAAGCCGCTGGGGGAGATCATTCGTGGCTTTGGGGTGGATTTCCATCAGTACGCTGATGATACTCAGTTGTACATCTCCACCCCAGGCCACCCCAACGATGCCCTTGACGTGATGGCCCGTTGCCTGGAGGCCGT